GCCCATTACGTTTATTGTTACCTGCGGACAGCAGCCAGGGAAGACTCAAACCCTCAGTCATAAAGGTTAAACTTAAGGTACAACTCATTTTTTCACAACTTGCAAACCTCCAAGTTGCCCCGAAATAACAATCTGCGGTCCCTAACACAAAGATGTGGCAAGCTCCAGCTTACAGGAACGCCTTGGAATACACTCGCAAATGTTTAGGATGAATTCCGAGGTTACCTGGGATTTAAACTCAGGTCTGTCAGGTTTGATGCTGAAAAGAATTCCAAAAAAATCTGACAATTAAACTATTCTTTGCAACAAAACCTAACTTCAGTTTGGAAAACTTTACATGGAAGTTAGGCCTCAGCACGCAACTTAAGGAAGGCAGCAAATCTTACATCTAGGTGTAAGAATGGCTGCTTTTGGGCTCATCAATGATTAAAAAAATAAAAAAAAACCCCAAAGATCTTGAATTGAAATAAAAAATTAAAGAAAATACATTCAATCTTATATCTATTTAACAATGTATTTACTCGCTTAAAGAAATGGAGAGCAAAGAAAAGTTCATTTTGCTAATACAATTTCAGCCACAGTGTATCGGATAATAACATGTCCAGAATAGAAATTAACATGTTCTATCTTTACAGTAAATAGTCTGTCAAACTGGAGCATGGTAACACATTCTAAATATCACAACAAAAAATAAATAAATAAAAGTTACTATAAACAAACAAACAAAAAAAGGATTCACTGGCTCAAGGTGACGTAAAGTCAGAGGAAGAAAATTAAATTTTGAGTCTTTTGAAAATTATTTTATTAGCCCTCCTCAGAGTCCTACTTCATTGCAACTCTTTTATTACGCAGAAATGAATTCTACCTTGCACCCTCTGCACTGCATCTATTATTTTGATGCCTGTTCCTCCAATACAGGAGTACATATCCTGAAGGCAGCAATATTCTTATTCCCTTCCTTAAAACTACACATGGCTTGAAAGTACCTGTGAAGAAGTACTTTCTCAGTAATTTTTTTCCCCAGGGCATTATTTTGTATTGGCTACAAGGTACAGCTGATATATTTGAGAATTTGGGAAAGTTAAGTCTAGTCGTAACTGGTCAATGCCCTGAACAACTCTAGCACCTTTAGCTATGCTGTATATTGGATTCCAGTTTATGATTCTTTCTTCGTAAAGAATATATTTTAAGTAATTTTTCCATTAAAAAAAAAAAAAAGCTGCTGTCGATCCGCATTTTGGTTAGAGCAACTCTGCAACAGCGCACATTAAAATGAAATCTACTGCAACATAAATAGAGGTGTTGCTTTATTATATACGTATATATATGTGATATATTATCACCCAAGAAGGGCCATCTAAAACACCACAGTTGCAAACATTTAAGACTGTAACAAAAATGACTGAGACTCTAGTATCAGTTTACTATCCTTCAACAATTTCCCTGACAGTGGAGTCAAATAATGTTGAATTATGGACCTTCTTGCAGGAAGTCTTATTTCATGTTCATTTTTTGATCATTTCCCTCCTAGTCCCTATAGGAATTTGGCTCTTTGCCGATTTGCCTTTAAAAGTTTCTGCATCTGTAATTGGCTTGTGCATTATTAAATTGTAGTTTTTGTCAAATTATGCTTCTACGGATGTGCTCAACAAGTTTATTTTCCATAAGAAAAACACTGTTTTTTCCCTATAAAATCTATATTATGCTGCTACTGTACTTTATTTGGATTTGGTGGGTACTTTGCACCATGTTTTCCTAAAAGGACTTTCTAAAGGCTTTCTGTAGACACGATCTTGTAGGGGAATTTTATAGTTCAGACTAGAGCACCTGGGTGCCAGGGTGATGTGGCTTCAAGAAAACAGACCCACGGTGACAGTTTAGGATTACCTAAGAAACTGAACTTTTGCTGTCAGACTACAGACAGTCTCTGGGCTTTTTTTTTTTTTTTTTTAATCAGAGGGAGTTTTCCCAGACACATCACACAACAGCTGTGTTCTAAATCTTTCTGAGCTCCAACAAACATTTGAAAATTTAAACATGCAAATGTTTGAAAAGCTAATGATTAAAAAAGGTTTATTTTGAAACTTTTGAGGATGGCTGCAATTCTTCAGCTACGGTTTTTAAAGTCCCGGGGTCTGGTTGATCTCGAGTTCAATTATCCCCAGCAAAAAAAGCCCAAACTCCTGCCTTGTACTTGTGGAGCCGTGATGGTAAACACCAACTCCGCAGGTCCCACCCTGGCAGGCAGCGGGGTCGAGCCCGTGGGAGAAGGATGCTATTTTAGTGACCTAGTGCCACTGAGCTGGTTAAATCACTGAACAATGGTTAGTGTTATAGGGCTTTACTTTGCAAAATCTAGCATTAGTGTCATTGCTTTCCATTAACCGGGGGGGACTTAAAGGCAATGGCATTGAGGGGCCTATAAGGAAAGAATAAATAAGGGGAAACCAATAAATTAAAAGCAAAAAAAACACCCTGTTAACTGTAACCTTTACTACCACAATATACGAAAATGTAATTAAATCCATAATAAAAGCTTTTTTACATACTTACTCTTTTACTACTCTCCCAAGCAGAGCCGTGGGCAGGCGGGGGGCCCCTCATTCCCACCGCCCCGTCCCTGCGCGCCCGCGCATCCCAGGGCCGCGCAGCCATAAACGCGCCCTGCGCAGCCACATCCTAATTAGCCGCCCCGGCGACCAGCACTCAACACCTTATTATTGAACCATTAGGGCCCAGATACTGCCGGCCGCGCCGGGGCCGGTCTTGGCACCGGAGTTTACCGGAGGGCGCGGGTGGCTGCGCATCCCCCCCGCTAAACAACAGTCCCCCCCGCCCCGCGGATTTGATCCACCGCCTCATCGGCCGGGAGAGGGGAGGGGGTGGGAAAGCGCATTTTTGCATCTTTTCCCTTCAGCGGGGAAAGCAAAGCCCCGCTCCCCACCCCGTCCGCGCCCCCGGAGCTGCGCGTCCCGCTGCCCGGAGAGGAGCCGGAGCACCCCGGGGAGCGGCGGGAGCTGCGCTCGCACAAGCCGGGGGTGCTGGGGCTGAGCCCGCACAGCGGGAGAGGGGACGGCCCCGGGAGCGCAAGGTCCGCGGTCCCGGCGACTAAAAGGTGCTGGCGGGGGGGGGTAGAGGCAAGGGGGTGTGTGGAGAAACACACCGACACCCCCGACAACCCCAAAACTATAGCTTCATTTCTTTAGCTTTCACTTTAATAAAATAATGATTCGTTGGGAAAATGGGGTATAAATCTTCATTTTGGAGGCAATTAAAGTGTTGATTTCATTCGTGCCCCTGAGCGATTCTTGTAATTTGCTCAAATAGCTTTATGTACCCAGCACTCCAGAGCTTTTAGAAACCCATTTTCTAGTTAGACTTGTTGGATTACAATTTTTATTCAACAGCAGCGAGCCGAGCTTCCCTCAGCTAGACCCTGGCTGGAGGGTTCCCCTTGCACTAAGGCGCTGCACGGGGCCGCCCGCCGCCCGGAGCATCCTCCCCGGCCCCGGGTACCGCCCTGCTGTGCCGCCCTCCTCCCGCCCCACCAGGCTTTCCCCCCTTCGCAGCAAAATTGGGTGGAAAGAAAAAACGAAACACCAAAACAACCCACCTATGCGCATATAAACCCCTTTTTAAAAGTTCATGCCTTCCTCCAAGCCTGCCTCCCCCTGTCACGACACCACCCGATAGCCTTTGGCAGACAGGAGAAAATATTTCAGATACTGCCCACGCTGCGATGCAACGCACCTTCATGTCGGTGATCTATAAAATAACTCCCAGCTGACAGTGCCGGTGATAACGGCAAAGCGGCTGAGGCAACTCCTGTCTGCTTGGCTGCGCCTTGCTTGAACAAAAGGAAACCTCCAGAGTCAGGAGCAGATCGCTCCTAAGACTCTATTTGCGTAGCTGATCATAAAGAAGAAATAACTTGGGGGTTTTAACCGCGGATTTATTTTTCTGTGTGTGCTCGAGGTCCCCTCTCTCACAGGCAAAGCGCTGCTACCCCTCAGTTCAGAGAAAACAAACGGACCGCGAAAACCCCACCGTTTCACCCAACTCGAATAAAAGCCAAATCTCAGTCACTTCCATCATGCAGGAGCTTAATTTAGATCTGGGCACCTCCTGCATTAGCCCCAAACGCTCCCATGAAAAGGCAAGGATCCCAGCCGGCGGAAGGGACAGACGAGGAGGAGGGAGGGGAGAGGGGACAGCCAGCTCTCCTCACTCAGCTCACTCGCATTTCCCACCCGGCTGCAGCCGGCATTAAAGGTCTGAACCATCCCAAACAAAACCTGGACACCGTCACAGCCACGCGAGGCTTTGCTGGCTTGGCTTTGGCTTTGACTATATTTATTTTTTAGAGAGAGGGCATGAAAACTCGAAAGATCAAGGGAAAAGAATTTAAAACCTGAATCCCATTTCATTTTCTCCCTTTTTCCCCCCCCCCCATTAAGTAAAATAAAATGGGCGCATTTGCAGCAGGCAGGCGTGCACAAAGCAATGTTCACTCAAGTCTAAAAGCGTTCGGCCAAGGAAAACTGACAAGACGGACTAATGAACCGTAGAGACGGGAAGAAAATAGCCAGTATTTGCTAGATTTCAAACCCTCTCTGTCTTCCCCGGACCACCTATCTCGGATTTTATTATTATTTTGGTCAACGACTCCAGCCCTTCCTTCCCTAAGCTACCAAGAAGCCAGCGATCCACAGACACCACTTCTATTATTGCAAAGGGTAAATAAAATAAAGACAAAAATTAAAAGCGACAAGAAACAGGTCGAGTTTGCAGGCGACGCTTTTACAAGCTCATCTCGCCAGGTCGAATCCGGGAGCAAGCCTTAATGAAGCAATAATAGCCACATTATTCAAAAATTTTCATTTCGATGGAAATTTATCTAAAAGGGACTTAATCATATGCAAATAATAAAAGGAGGCGTAGTGACCCGGCGAGCGATCTGCATACAAATTTTAGCGTGTGCAGCGTTGGCGAGATCATACCTGATCCGTTAGATTTGCTGATCTTGTTATGTCTTCACTGTCCGATTTTGATCCGCCCTCTCTATCGTCTATGACCAAATCGATAGGCATTTTTCCTTTCAAACAGCTAATATACCGGTGGCAGAAATTGTCACATAATTCGTGTACCTACATTATGACAGTGGTTAAAAAAAAAAAAAAAAGAAAAAGAAAGAAGGGGGGGAAAAAAAGCAAGAAAATATAATCAGGAATACATAAGTAAAATTGACAAGTGCAACCAGTCTCCCCCCTTCACCCCTGTGACATCAAAAGTCCTAAATAGGGGAAACACACTGCAATTATCCCCCTGAGACCTCTAGACGCATCCAGAATTAGGAATAACTTTCTTTTCTCGCAAAATAGAGATATCCCAGAAAATTGACAGTGACAAGATGATTCACAGGCTACAACATATTCAACACCCGTGTTAAATTCATCTGCTCCCGGAGCTGTGGCCATTAGAGAGGTGACCTGCATGGGTGACATTTAAGGTAAACTATTTAATTTCATCCAGTTATTTCATCATAAACCCTTTCCAAAGGGGTATGAGGACAGAAAAAAGGATTTAAAAAAAAAATCCCGATGCACTGGGCTGAAATACATTATAGGCATCCGAGCCCTGAAATCCCCAGTCACTCTGATAGACTCGTACCTGAGCCGCCTTTATTAATGGGAAGATTTGAACACATTTTGGTAGAGCGAGAACAACCTGCCAGTTATGGTTAGATAAAGTGACTGAGGCTCCTGAGAAACTTTTCAACTATTTAAAAACCTCTCAAAATGTTTATTTTTAGGAGAAAGGGAATTCTCTTGTAGGCCAGCTATCAATGACACGTAAAAAATCCTCAGGAAACCAAGAGCGCACTTCCAATTTAATGTGAGCTCGGATGACACTGCCTTCTTAGAAATTAGCATTCTCCCTACTAAGATTTCTAAAACAGCCAACAAAAAAAATCCTGCAGTTAGGCTGCAATCTCTTTCTTCTGCTCGGAGGTGTACAATATTCCCAGGAACAAGAGACAGACAGAACTATCAACTCTGCTTTGTCTCTGCAAAATGTTACAGGACAATCCGCGCCCTGAGCCTGACCTGCAGATGGCTCTTAAAAAAAAAAAATAAAAAATTCCCCATTCCAACTAAGTGCAACCGAAGCCCCTTCCTCACCATCACCAAGAAAAAACAATATATATATATTTTTTAATCACAATTTCAGGGTCTTGATTGAACTAACCATTTCGAGTCTCATCTGCGGCACCACAGAACTGCAACTATTTATACAAAGCCAGCAAAGTATTACAATGAACACAAGGCCTGGGCGTTCGAGAGCTCGGTTTTAGAGGCTGAAATTGTAATTAAACTGCGAAGAGAAATGGACGCCAAGATTGGTCTTGACACTAATTACCAGAAAGAAAGACATTTATGCAAATTTACCAGAAGCCTGAACTTCAGCAGTACTGAAACGGAGGAGGAAGAAAGGGGGGGAAGGAGAGGGAGAAAGAGAGAGACAAAAATTACCTTCTCTAATTCCAACAGATGAAACCTTAATACTTGTATGGCTTGAATCATCTGCAAAGATACAAACAACAAGAGTATTAATCTCATTCCTGGATTTGGAGATATTTCCCACAGCCGCCCCGGCCACACTTTGTAGCTTGACTTTTCTCTAGTAGTAAATAAAAAGTTGTTTTGATTTATGGCAATAACACTAAAACTTAATAGCGGTGGCTTTGTGTGCTGTTTAACGAGAAGCGATCTAGAGTTAACAAAAAAAAAAAATCCCCATTGCAACGAAGCAACTGAATTATATGGATCATAAACATTTCTTTAAAAAAAAAACCCAACTCTCTAAACACCATCACTGGCTCCTCGCTTTGCGAAAGTGGGAGCAGGACTCCTACAGTGGAGGCAAAATATTTATCCTTAAGGAGGGAAGGACAGAAAGAGAGAAAAGGTCTCATTTTTGGTGAATTTGCCACCGGTGCATCTCCAACCACAGCAATCCTCTACGTTTCCCTTCCCATGGAGCTGCTAAAAGGTGCGTGGAGGGGGTGGCTACAGCGGGGATAAATCCACGCTCCTCTCGGGCAGGCAAGCTCACTATCAAGCCCGCCAGCTCCCCTTTGGATGGGGCTTTCCTTTATGTATATCCTTATGGGATTTTTTACTTGCAAGCAACTACCACACCGTATTTACTAGTAAATATAAAAATCACCATCATGAATTTGTAATTTTAAAAAAATCCACGTGAGAAATTTTCAATTTAGCACCACCAAACCACCTCTCCAGATGACACAGAAATTTAAAAAAAAAAAAAATAAATAAATGGGAAGGGAAGGGAGGGTGGGGGTGGGGAGAGGAAGAAGTGTTAACTCTTACCAAGTTATCCAGTTCAGGATTAGAGGAAAAGAGGGGTTTCTCTGCTCGGATCTAAATATAAGAAAGGGGAGGAGAGGGGGAAAAATAATAATAAAAAAGATTTGAAATATGGAAGCAGAAAAAGCAGACGTTATTATTTCTTGCTTCATTACACTGTCGGGTCCATTATGTAACCTTCCGTGCAAAGCCCTGACTGCTGGATTTAGTACATCAGCCAAACACTTGAGCAAGTGAATCAAATATACCAAAAAATACCTACGGAGCTTCCCCGGCAGAGCCCGTCCCGGCTCCCGGGAGTCGCGCAGCGAAACTCCCGGCCAGGCACAGACCGCTCCACATTACCCAGTTTTTTAAGGGGCTGGTAAATGCCGAGATTTCCCGATTAGTTTTTTTGTGTGTTTTGCTTTGGCTGGGGTTTTGGAGTGGTTTTTGTTTTGGGGTTTTTTTTGCCTCTTGCAGTAAGAGAGGGGGGAGGGGGAAACGCGCATCTTTATCTCAACAGAGACTTGTTTTTCTCGTTACGGATTTTTTCCCCCTCTTTTTCCTTTTTTTTTTTTTCTTTTACTGTTTCAACCCGGTTTTGCTGACCTGTTTGGCGAACACTGCTATGTCTTCATTGAAAGACTCAGAGGAGCAAACATCGCCTCCCGCTACCCCGGGCTCCCTGGGTGTGCATGTAGCTAATTCACATTTCTCAAAAATCAGTGCTAAAAGAGGGAACAGGGGGTGTCTGAAAGAAAATACAATAGTCACACACACAGAGGGGGGGAAAATATCATAACGAAACAAAAAAAAAAGCCAAACACAACAATAGTTAGTCCCGCAGCAGCGTGAGTGGGGAGGGGGGCACCCACAGAGGGGGCTCCGGCACCCCCCCGCCGCCTCCCGCAGCATCCCGGCCCCTTCCCGCAGCCGGCCGGCCGGCAGCCCGGCATCTCCCCGGCCTTTCGGCGCTGTCTGGCCGCAGATATTGTTAATACAACCTTAGGACAAGCCAAGAATAAAACCCAAGCCGGTTCCAGCAGCCATTTTGAATTAACTTTCCTTGTCTTTAGGAAAAAAAAAAATTTAAAAATTAAAATCCCCTGGACGTACACTTTCTTGCCTTTCATGCTTTTAATTCCTGTTTTCTGCTGGAGGACTTGCTGGGAGCGAAAAGGGAAAGGAAAAGAAGAAAAAAAAAAACCAACACCAAACCAAGAGAAAAACAGAAAAAGAAACAATCCCCATCCAAATAAAAAAAAAAATAAGAAAAAGCCCCTAATCCCACTGAACACAGCTCCGACCCACTGGCAGGCGCTGGCCTGCCCGGCTGCCTCCCCACTGCCTGCCCGGCCCTCCGCCCCCCCCGGGGCTCCGCAGCCGCCGACCCGCGGGGGGAACCAGGTGCTCCTGGGCAATCCCAGCTTGGAAAGCCTTCCCGGGAGAAAGGCAGCGTGTGCATCTGGTTCCCTCGCCCGTTTAATAATTTAAATAAATAAATAAGCGTGGGCGCACACACACGTATATATGTATATTTATAACAGGGAGTTCATTTTTTTTTTCTCCCAGGGCTTCATACTTTTTTTTTTCTTCTGGGTACCGTTCACTGCCGAGTTTTAACCAACCCTTCAGATTTCTGATAACCCGATAAAGTAACCGAACGCCATGAATTTTATTTTCCTCCTCCTTCTCCTCACTGTCCTGAGAGCGGTTTTTAGAGGCTCTTAAACTTCCCTTCAAACTCCAGCTGGGCAGATACATTTTAAAAGCATCTGCGCCCACTGTAACCCCATCAGCTCCCATCACAACGGCCTAGAAACCGCTTTACAAGTTGCCACACTGAGAAACATGCAATGCTGTCGGATAAAAAGTTTAAAAGAAATGAAAATTAAAAGAAAAATTAAAAAAAAAAAGCTGAGAGAAGCAGCTCTAGAGTTCTCTCCTTCTCAAGGCAAGGAAAGCCGAACAAGGTGGAAAGTTGGGCAAAGCGCTCCAAACTCTCCCTTGCTCCCAAAACTCCGTGCAGAGATTGACCAGCCCGGCGCAGGTTGTGCCCTGGGAATACTATTTTCCTCCTCCTCCTCCCCGCGGCGATGCCTGCTGCCCCCCTACTTCCCCGGGCTCCCCGTACCAGGGGGACCCTCAGCCCTCACGGGGACCCTCAGCCCTCTCTCCCCACCCTTTAAACCGGCGATAACAACGACACGAAATTAAGAACGCGGCCCTTCACCGCGCAGCGCTGCCCATCCCTCCGTCTTTCCCCACCCCGCGCACTCCCGCTGCCCCCCCCCTCCTCGCCCCCGCGCTCCATCCCGCGCAGGTTGCGCGGAGCCCTGCGCGGCCAAACCTACCCGTAGATGGCATCTTTATCTCTCTTGAGGGCGTCGTTGACGGAGGCGCCCATGGCGGGGGGGCATGGCGTTGGCGTGGGCGGCGTGCGGGTACTGGTGCGAGTGGAGCGGCGGCCCGTGGTTGAGGTGGTGCACGGGCTGCATGGGGCGGGCGCCGTGGGGGTCCCCGTACATGGTGGTGGGGATGCCCACCCCCTCCATGCCGCCGTAGTGGGGCAGCTCGTCGTACTGCGGGGCACAGAGAGAAAGAGGGACAGAGAGAGAGAGAGCAGAGAGGCGTCAGGGGTGTGGGGAGTGGGCAGTGCCCCCGGCAGCAGCTTCGCTGCCCTGTGTGTCCCCCCACCACCACCCGGGGACGCGCCGCGATCCCCCCGGAGCGCTCCGGGGATCCGCCGCGCCGGCCCTGGGGAGGGAAACACCGCCCCGGGCCGGGCTTCTCCAGTCCGAAACCCTCCGAGTCTGGGGCGCAGGAGGAATAATAATCATCATAACAACAATAAAATAAATAAAAGTGCAAAAATAACCACCCCCACCCCGCACCAATCCCCATCCCCCGAATCTCCCAACCCTCCTCCTGCGAAGGGAAGCGGTTTCCCGGAGTCCAAAATCTTCCCTCCGCTAAACTTTTTTTTTTTTTTTCCCCCGCTGATAAGAAGTCAGGTACCTCACACCCAGCGAGGATGCAAAAAACTTCAGCAGCAGCACACACACACACACACAAAAAAAAAAAAAAAAAAAAAAAAAAAGACCCAGAACTAGCGATTTGCGGATTTCCCAGCAATTCCACGAGAATGCAACTTTTAAAGCCGAAAAGCTGGAAACGTTCGCCCGGGCTCTCGGGATTTTGGGAATGCCTTCCTTTTTTTTTTTTTTTTTTAAGGGTTTTCTTTGTTAAAGATTAAGGAGCAAAAGCTACCGCGGTTCCCAGGCAGCGGGGGAAACGGCCACTTTTCATCTATTAAAAGCGAAGGTGTGAATAAACACTTTTAAAGATCCCTGACACTTGCTTGGACCGAAAGAGTAAAAGGCAAGTTGTCAGCAGAGGAACTTTCTTTCCCAACCGGCTCTCGGACGGCGGCAGGCAAATTAGGCAAGAAAACTTCTTTCCAGGACTTTTCTCCTTTCCCAAATCCCTGTTCACCCGACTCCGGCTGATTTATTTTTTTCTCAAAACTTCAATTCAGGAGGTAGTTGGAAGAAAGAAAGAAAAAAAAGAGATCGCACCCAAAATAGAAACAACAATACACATGGCAGTGAATGCTGTTAACCTCCAATTCAAATTAAAGTCACTTTCTTTTTAGAAGAGTGGGGGGGTTGCCCATTACACTGCACCTTTTGTGACAGAATATATATTTAAAAAAAAAAAGGGGGGGGGGGAGAAAAAAAAAGGAGGTAAAAGAAAAAAAAAAAGTTGTGCTTACTCCCAGCCAGAACTTATCTTCCTAAAGTGAAGCGGTATATCATCACTAACACAGCAAAATGCTCAGAGACATGCACACATTCAAATATTTCAAGCACTGATGACTTTAAAAAAGACATTGGTAGGACTAGAGCTACAAAACCAACAAATACAGAGGCTCGGACATATTCACTTACATGCCTGCATGTCATTAATGTATAGAAAGCTTTGCCTCTTCCCTGAGAGCTCCGGGATGGGGAGCAAAAGAATCAAGAAAATAGCAATATACGCAGGTTTTAAGCCTACAAGTACAACTGATAAATCCTCCCACTGCAGGACACCGCTTTGTGCCCCTGTTCCAAAAAGGAGGAAAAAAAAAAAAAGAAAAGAAACTTTTTTCGCAGCGTCTCTGTCAGCCACGTTTCAATATTATTTCACATTTGAAATCCATTTTTTTTTAATCATACGTACCCTTTGCGCCATCGGCCTGCTTGCTCCCTTCCTACTTCAACTTCTAATATATCCTCTTTAAGGCCAGTGTGAAAAGAAAGAAACGCGAAGTTCCCCCCCCCTCACCCCCCAAAAAAAGGCAAAAATCCCTTAGCGTCGCCAGCAATGGAAGCAATCGAGTAAAATCTTCGGCTTGCTGGATCTCAGCGAAGCGATACGGTAACTCAGCATTAAAAAAGGAGAAAAAAAAAATTAGGAGAAAAAAAATCAACTCTCCCTCCTTCCTTCCTTCTTTTTTCTTTCTTTCTTCCCTCTCTCCCTGTCTCTCTCTCTCTCTTACTCTCCCCCTCTCGTTTCCAAGACAGCAGCGGGGCGAAAGCAAATATCCTTTCCCCAAATCAGTTTTTTTTCCTCTCTCTCTCTCTTTTTTTTTTTTTTTTTTTAAAGTGCCCCTCAAACCCAACTACCAAGTCTCATGGCTTTTTGCCACTCCGGCTGTCAATCACAGGCGAGGTTGTCAAGGTGGTGAATGACTGATGATGATCCGCTGCGTGTGCTCCCACCGCGCAGGACACCGCGAATGTTAATTTTCGAGTGCGCTCACCCAAAAAAAAAAAAAAAGAAAAAAGAAAAAAAAAAAGAAAAAATTTATATAAAAAAAGAAAAATTAAAAAATCGAGGGAGGAGGAGAAGGAGGAAGAGGAGGGGGGAGAAAAAATTAAAAATTAAAAAGGCTCGCTAAACGCGCCGGCTCTCCTTTTATTATGGTTATTATGATGATGATGATGATGATGGTGGTAGTGGGGGGGGCTGCTTTTTTTTTTTTCTCTCTCTCTGTCTCTGTCTCTCTCTCTCTCTCCGCTCCTCCTCGCGGAATCGCTCCTAATTCCTCGCCGGCGCCGGCTCGCTCTGCCCCTGCGCGGCCGGCGGGCGAGGCTGGCGGAGGCGGGCCGGGCGCGGGTGCCGTGCGGGGCGGGCGCGGGAGGAAGGGCAGCGGGGCGGGATGGGGGGGGGGGGGGGGGGGAGGGAGGCGGGGGGAGGAGGAGGAGGAGGCGCTGCCGCCGCCGCCGCCGCTGCCCGAGCGCTGCCGTCCGTCCGTCCCTCCGTGTGTCCGTCCGTCCGTCCCTCCGCCGCCGCTCCGCCCGAGCGCAGCAGCCGCGCCGGGCTGGAGCAGACTGCGGGAACCCGGAAGTAGTGGTGGCCATAACAGGTCGCGTCTTACACAATGCGCTGGGCGGCAGCAACTCCGCCACCGGCGCGGGGGGGGGCGCGCCGCGCCGCCCGCCCCGCAGCCCCCGCGCCTCTCCTCACACACACACGCACACCGCCCCCTCCCGGCCCTGCCCTCACACACCCCCCTCGCACACACACAGCACGGTGCGTCCGCCCCGCCGCCGCCGTGGGGGCGCTCCCGCCGCCCTTTTGTCTGGCGGCGCCGCCGCTCCGCGCCCCGTGCAGCGCCCCCCCC